AGCCACTCTACGGGAGTGGCCTGCTATCTTGCAATCTGCTGCCTTGGATGTGTAATGAGGCCCCAAAGCAAAGGCCAGGTGCTCTGGGCCATTGGAAATGTGCGATTATAGAACAGTGCATGACCTTGAGAGTGGTTTATCCTGATTCTAAGATGGCTATTTTATCAAAAGACACTTCTCCACAACTCTGAAGCAAATGCACCGCAGGCTGCATTCATTTGTGGGCATCACGTTACCAGGATAGTATTGGAAGGAGCAGAGCCAGGGCCGGCTCCAGGCACCAGCTTAACAAGCAGGTGCTTGGGGCAGCCAAAGGAGAGGGGCGGCAACTGCGGCAATTCAGGGGCGGCAGGTCCATCACTCCCTCTAGGAGTGAAGGACCTGCCGCTGAACTGCCGACGCCAATCGCAGCTTTTTTTTTTTGCTGTCACCAATCGCGGCAGAAATGTTGGAGCCGGCCCTGTGCAGAGCAATGCTATAGTTATATGCTATAATTAGTGGCAATAATACACACTAGTTTGAATAGCAAGGAGGAGGGGGAGTTCTTTTAGGAGCAAAGGAGAAGAAAGGAAGAATTTAGGCTGAATGTCAGGATAAACTTCTTGAGAATGAAACCTGTAACCAGGTTGTAGAACGTCTCTCAAGGGGAGTTGTGGGAATTGCATCGTTTGGGACTTTAAAGGCTGCACTGGACAATCCTGCATTGCCCCAGGTAGACAGGTCTGGATTTCAGAAGAGCTCTTTTCTAGCTCTGCTGTGTCTGATTCTGGGTGGGAGTGGTGGAGGGTGGAGAAGAGAGCGACAGGAATCGTTCAGAAATGATTTTGAAGCAGCAGTCTCTTGACAAGGAGTCAGCCTGCGCGATCACTGTTGTTGCAGGAAACTGCCACCCTGGGCTCTGTCTCAGCAAACTGTGGATTGATTGAAGCAAACTTTCATCTTCCCTATAAATATACATAATGATTCTCTCCGGAGCCAAGGACATGAAATGTAAATTGGCTCTGCAAAAGGAAAAATAAAGTCTGTTTTGTAGACAGGTTTGTTTAATAGCCTCATTTCTCTCCGGTGCTTTTGCCAATGGAGGCTACTCCAGGTGGTCCCAGGTATAGTGCACAGGCCTGGGAATCATGCTTATGTGATTATACAGTGGGAAGCGGGGGTTCAGAACAGGGAAGAACCCCCAAAGGGCAATGCCTGTTGTAGCCAGCACATGGTGTAAGAAGGATCTTCTGTTATCCAGGCCACATGCCAGCTTATGTACTGTAGCCTGTGCAGTCTAATCTGTCTGCTCTCAATTCTAGATTATAACATTTGCAACATTAGCAAGCAGCGGGACATAGTAGAATGAGCACAGGATCCAAGAACGCCTGTGTTCAATACCCAGCTCTGCCATGACCGACTGTGAGACCTCAAGCAAAGTCCTGTCCCCTCTCTGTGCTTCGGTTTCCCCATCTGTGAAGTGGGGATTATCATTTATATCCCTAATCAACCTGGTACGCGGCTGGTGAGGAGTTAATGGCTGTGCCTTCAAAACGTCAAATGGCAGGTATTACATTAACTCTGCACCCACTGAAAACTGCTACTCTTCTGAAATACAGAACTCCCAAGAAACCCTTACTTACAGCCCTAGATTGGGCATATTTTGGGCTCCAGAGTCTTTTGTTTTTGCCTATGTCAGGGTTTCTCAAACAGGGGTCGCCGCTTGTGTAGGGAAAGCCTCTGGCGGGCCGGGCCAGTTTGTTTACCTGCCGCGTCCGCAGGTCCGGCCGATCGCGGCTCCCACTGGCCACAGTTCGCTGCTCCAGGCCAGTGGGAACTGCTGGAAGCGGTGCAGGCCGAGGGACGTACTGGCCGCTGCTTCCAGCAGCTCCCATTGGCCTGGAGCAGCGATTGACAGACCTGTGGACGGGCAGGTAAACAATCCGGCCCGGCCCGCCAGGGGCTTTCCCTACACAAGTGGTGACCCCTGTTTGAGAAACCCTGGCCTACGTCCATCTTCCTAATGAATTATTGGTATTTTTTCAATAACAAATACATTGCACATGAAGTACAGAGATGAGAGAAGCCCCTGGGCACTCCATGTCTGTGAACAGATGAACTAAGCCAAAATTCTGTCATTACATCCTTGGGACAACAGCTGACCTTGTATTTCACTCTATGTGAAATACAATTTTTCCCCAATGTGTGTGTAGAGACGGCCAATGCCTTGGCTCATGGTTTGGCTCATTAGAGATGAGATGGACTATTGGTTCTTTTCTCTACTTTCACAGCCAGATCCTCAGCTGGTATAAATTGTTGTAGTTGCATTGAAGCCAGTGAAGCTACACACCAGTTTATACCAGTTGAGGGTCTGGCACACAAACTTCCTGACTGGCGCGGGTCTAGTTCAAAAGGAAGTTAAATGTACACAATATATATTTCACTACTTGTATCTCCCAAAAGCTCCAAGATATGGCAGATTTACAGAGCTCTGCAATGATTTCAGGATTGCTGGAAAACTGAGTCAATGCTACTAAAGGAGTGCTGGGAGCCAAACATTAGCACAAAATAATTTTCAGTAACTAACTTGGATATATGTCATGTTGTGTTGACAAAGAATTTCCTTGGAGTCCTTCAAAATAAGGGAAAGTAAGTCATAAAAGCTGGAAGTGCAGGAAAGAGCTAAAATCGCAGCCAAGATTTAAAAGGAACAGAGGAAAGAGTCTTTCCAGTTGCAATAGGAATAGCATTCCTGGGGGTTCAAGGCAGCAAATGGAGAGCATTTCAGCCAAAGATGGATCTCTAACTGGGAGGTGTGGAGATACAATAAGCTGTTCATCCTCACCAATTGCAGTTTTGAGCATCTGCGCACATTAAAGTGAACGATAGTTTTCAGACTTTAAAGAATCATACTTCTGGTAAAATTAGGCTGTACTAAGCACTAGAGCAGTGGTTCCCAAATTTGTTCTGCCGCTTGTGCAGAGAAAGCCCCTGGTGGGCCAGGCCGGTTTGTTTACCTGCCGCATCTGCAGGTCCTGCTGATCGCGGCTCCCAGTGGCCATGGTTCGCTGCTCCAGGCCAATGGGGGCTGCTGGAAGTGGCAGCCCATTCGTCACTCGGCCCGCGCCGCTTCCAGCAGCTCCCATTGGCCTGGAGCAGCGAACCGCGGCCACCGGGAGCCGCGATCAGCCGGACCTGCGGACGCGGCAGGTAAACAAACTGGCCTGGCCTGCCAGGGGCTTTCCCTATACAAGCGGTGGAACAAGTTTGGGAACCACTGAACTACAGATAGGGCCAGTTGACAGAACTCTGAGAGCCTGGATCTGCACCCCATTAAACTCTGGGGAAGTTTGGATCACCACTTCCTGGTTAAGGGCTCTCTCTGCCATGTGTATTACCCATGTCATAACTTACTTTGAACACCTCCAATGACATTGTTTCTGTAGCTTAGTGTTGTAGCTTGCCTCTTTACTGACACTGCTTTAGCACTAGCAGCGATCTCATGAAGCAGGGGAGCTTTGAGAATTTGTGAGGAAAGCAGGGACTTGCAAAGCTTTTTCTTTTTGAGTACTGTTGCCCCCTTGACCGAACAGTAGCTGAAACCGGGGGCCTGGAAGGATGGTTTCTCTTTGGATGGGAAACCAATGATGTGGAGTCAGGATACTGTCTTCATGTCATTTGTTACTTACAGAAATGTACACCAGCCCTCTTTCCACGAATGGCAGCAGCACACTGCACACAGGCAGCCCCGTGTTGCTGAAATTTCAGGCCAGGCGCTCCAGCCCCTGTCCCAAGAAGCAGCGGCCTTTGCCTCTGCTCATCTCCAGAGACCGAGAAAGACTCCAGCCGCTTCATTCCAGCTGCCATGTGGTTGAACTTTAGTGCTTCCACTGGTCGGTGTCTAATAGTATGAAAAGAGCTTCCCAAGCGTGCGCGTGCAGAGACACACGCACACAGAAGGGAGTCTCTCAGCATCAGTACGAAAGGAATGGTAGTCTAGGACACTCTGCCCTCGCAAGAGATGAATGCCGGAGACATGGAGCCACACTGCTCTCAACACCTGCTGTTCAAAACTCCTATCAATTAGTTATTCCTCTGCAGATGGTGATTCCTGAATTGAAGGACAGAACAGAGAGAAGCTGGTTCTGCTCAGAGACTTTAGTTGTACAAAAATCTCTAGCAAGGACAAGGTGATTCCTTCTGCTTTCCTGCTGCCACGGCTTGTGTACTTCCCCGGTTGGACTGAAATGTCCTGACAATGGGGGAACTCTGTCCCAGAAATGCTTCCCCTGCCCAGTATTCCTCAGAGGAATAGTCTCAGGCTATTCTTTCAAGGGCTCCACAGATTTCAGACATTCTGAAGGGGAAGGCTTTACTTTGTGAGTAGGTTCTTATGCTGCGCCCATCACCGTGGTATCTAAGGGTGTGAAGGCCAAGCCTTCATCCACTGACTGTGCTTTTGCACCTGCAGTTGCTTGAGTGGATTCCTGGTGCAGTTTTCTGGGTACACACCCCTTTGTGCAGTTATTTAATAGGAGCCCAAACCGGTTTGAGGCTGTCCTAGGCAGCAGGAAAGCTATAAAGAGCATTGACATACCTCTGCCGTACGTATTTCTATGTATTTCAGGCATAAAACTGAATATGCCATTCATTCTGCAATATCTAGGCCCAGGAAGGCTAAGGATAGTGCTTTGGTTTAGACTGTATATTTCCTGCCTTTTGTTGCTTCATCAGCAGTTGAACACGTTCTAGGCATTTTGTTGTATTACTTTGTAAGTCAGGTTTGGGAAGAGGGAAATCTTTGGAGCTGATCATTTATCTCTCTATATTTTACTTCCGATCTCTCATATTATGATATTAGCTAGTTTGCATTGATGGGTGAGTGTGTGGGGGTTAGAGGGAGGAGTTAGTGCAGGCTACCCATGTGTATGCTCAGACAGGCTAGGCAAGCTAAGTGCAGCCTTTCCCCTCTCTTATGGCTCTGATAACCCAGATTTGCCTGTGCCTTTGTCCCCATGCAGGTTGGAGGACACACCATGCTGCCCATCCGCTGGATGCCCCCTGAGAGCATCATGTACCGGAAGTTCACAACAGAGAGTGACGTGTGGAGCTTTGGGGTGATCCTCTGGGAGATCTTCACATATGGGAAGCAGCCCTGGTTCCAGCTCTCAAACACAGAGGTACAGGATAAACCAGGGCATCTTGGACTGGGGAGTGGAGGGGAGACGAGACATGATGAAAAGGGGCTTAGCTTGTTGCAGGATGTTTCGGGCACTTTGAGACCTGGAGGTAGGTCATTTTGCCTCCCTTATCCACCTTGGAAGCCAGGGTACACCACCACCTTTCTCATTCTCAGGAGGAAGTCCTAGCCTTCCTCCACCTCAGGTGCCACTGTTCATAACAGCATCATGGCCTCACAGAGGAAGGGCTAGGTGAAGCCATGGTTTCTGTCTGTGAAATGCAGCCTGACAGAGGCTCTTACTTTGAGAAGAGCCCCCAACCCATAATTCCTCCCAACCCACCCCTGCCCCTTCCTCCTGGGTTTGAATCAGTCACAAGTAAAGTAAGGTTACATGGAGGGCTAATGCGCCCCACACTGGCACTTAGTTGGCTGGCTTTAAGCAGCAGCCCGTATCAAGTAAATTATTTCCAGCAGAATTCCCAACCTGGGGCATGTAAAATGTTGGTCATAGCGAGGGCTGCAGGTGGGGAGGTGCAGGAATGGGGTGGACCCCAGTATTTTATAGAAAGCTGGGTCAGGCCATTCAATGTGCACCCCAAAGAGTGGGGGAAATTTGGGAAATACCAATGCACAGCAAACACCTATAGTCCAGGCACTTCCCTTGTGTGTTCATGTACAACTCCCATTGACCCCAGTGGGAGCTGCGGGTGAATGCGGAAGGGACAGATCTGACCATAAAAATGGAACATTATTGCTCACGGGGAGAAGGGCTGTTCTTCCATTGCCATCTTTGCAACAATGCTTTCAGAGCAATCAGTGCGTCGAGTTTAATGGTCACCTCGCGGATGTTCACAATAACAGTGGTAATTAATGCTTGCCACTCTTATGGTCTTTTTCGGCATAGCATTTAAAGCACCTTTCAGAGGGATAACTATTATTCCTATTTCACAGATAGGGAAACTGAGGCACAGAGCCTGACACAGTGACAGAGCTGGGAATAGATCCCAGGTCCCTGGATTCCCAAATCCATGATTTAGCGACATACCCATCACACTGTTTGGCTAGATAAGCACAGAAGCATGCTCAGAACTGGGACTAGTAGGGGTTGCTGCAGGTCAGGCTCAAGTTACATCCAGGAGAGGCGGGTCTGGAACAGCAGGCAGTGGTCCAGCTCACGTTTGAGTGCAGTGACAGAGCTGTGCCCGGGAAACGTGCACATTTTTATCCGATTGTGTGTCTAATGGATTTCAGAAATGTTACCTCTTTTAACAAGAAATGTGCATTTTCTGCTTTCCGGACACAGATCCCTTAATTGAGTGAGTGCAGAGAGGGACTATCCAAGGTGCTTCTTTACATCGCTAATACTTGCCCATTTGTGAGCTCAGTGCACTTCCCGAAGCAGCACGCACAAACATTTTAGAGACACAAAGGGTGAGAGAAATGATCACAGAAGCCATTTGTTATGATACTTAATGAGCTACTCTTGCATTTGCCTTGGAGATAAATACACACGCACACAAATGAGCGTGCATACATCCCACATGGATGAGTTGTCCTGCTGGAACCCAGACCACACAAATGTCTCTGCACCTGTCTTAGTTTCCCCGTCTGTGAAATGGGGATAATCAAACTAACCCATCTAATAACCTTAAACAGTGCTTTGAACATATAAATTGGTACCGTTGGGCTAGGAATAGTACTGCTACATCCAGACAGGGTGACTTTTAACCATTGTCACCTCCATCTCTACGTGACCCCATCCTCTGTCCCTTTCCCTTTTCTCCTCAAAGGAGAGAATTCACAGGCAACCTGTGCAAAACATTGCACATTCATCTTCCCAAATGTTCGGGACGTGTTTGCTGTTGGCCTGCTGGTTAGAAGCAAGCTATGGAGACTCATGCAAAGTCCAAGGCCCTCTGGAGAACTGACTCCACCAGATCTTAGACTGTCACTTTTAATGAGGATGAGCAGGTCTGGGACACACCTTCTCCACTCCGGGACATCTACAGGGGACATGAGTCTAGATTTTGTCTGGCTGTTGGCCGATTAAAGTTAAAATGAGCATTTTTAGACATTCTGCTAAACCCTAGAAGAGACCCTCGCTGAGGGGAAGATGGAATAGGGCACATGGCTACTGAAAGACCACCTGAAGACCCAAAGCGAGCCCTACTGCCTAAATCTAAACTTTGCTTCCTCTCTAGAGATAGGGGTTCACCCTGGGTCTTTCGAATACAGGAAGCCTTTTAGTGGTCCTAGTTCATGTCTCTCTGCCTGCTCCACCAAGGGTCCGAAAGTTGACTCTGCCATCAGCTCTATGGTGATGGAGCCTTGTCTGCAGCACTGCATTTCCATCGCCCTCCCATCAGCAGCTCCTCCTAATCGCTTCTCCTTTTGCTATGTCTATGCAAACATCAGAGCGATAACTATCTGTTTGGATGGGTGCCGGGCCCCATTACTAGTCACAAAGGATAAACGTCAGGCCCCCCTTGCTGGTCTACTTGCCTCCCACAGTTTGGGATCTGTGTTTATCTGCAGCGTGTGTCGGGTCACTCAGATACCGCAGTACCGGGACACATCACTTCCCAAACAGGGGGCTAGTCGGTGATAACAGCTCTCTGACAAGTCACTTTTTTCCCCCTTTACATCCTTTTCTCTGGCGAGCAGGATTCAAAAAGCAGGTGCTTGGGGAATTGTTTTCCCCTGGAGTCACTCTAAAGACACCATTTCTTGCTGCACGAGCTGCTCGCAAATTTCTCATTAGCGGCAACGACCTGACCTAGAGCGAGGTGTGAACATTTGCAAGATTTCCTTCCATCATGAATTTGATCCAAGATGAAATGGTGTTCTTTTTTCTGCTTTCAAACATCAAAAATTAGACAAATTTGCCCTGGGAGAGGCAGGTGGGAGATGATGCTTTGAAATCCCCCTAGTAGAATTTTCCTGTGTTTCACCATGGAAAAGGCTTTTATTTTCTGGGGGGGGGACACTGATTATATTTAAAAAATTAACTTTTTCTTAGACCATCAGGAAAAACGGACATATCACTTTCAGGTTCAGCCTCTCCACTGTATAAATTACCATTGGACTCCTTCTTTGACTAAGCCTTCTGGTCCATAGGTACAGTCAGGTAATGAGGTGTCAAACTGGGAGGAGTTGTGCCTGGAGTTAATAGTGGTTGCAAAATCAAAAGCGTATTTCATTGAGATTGCAAAACTGCAGCTGCAAAGCAGGAGGCAGGTGCTGAGAATCTGTTGCTGCATATCACCACCTGGGAGCCCGCACACCTCAAATCAGAGGGATCTGCCGGCTCATTAGTGCTCGGATGAAATGTTGGTTACCATCCAGGGCTAAGCAGATTCGGCAAAGGGACATTCTCGGCGCGTTGTTGTGTGGGACTCACCCTCTCTGTTCTGCGTTTCAGGTCATCGAGTGCATCACCCAAGGCCGAGTCTTGGAGAGGCCTCGAGTTTGTCCCAAGGAGGTTTATGACATCATGTTGGGCTGCTGGCAGAGGGAACCTCAACAGCGGCTCAACATCAAGGAAATCTACAAGATCCTTCATGCTCTTGGCAAGGCCACACCAATCTACCTGGACATCCTTGGCTAGCAGTGGCCACTTGTCAAAAGTTCCTGCTCCTTCCTTCCTCCACCCTCCCCACCTCCTCTTCTCCCCAACCCTTTCAGCCCCCAAGCAAACATCTTCATATAAACTCAAGTGCCTGCTACACATACAACACTGAAAAACAAAACAAAACAAACAAAAAAACAACCTGTAAGGCAGTTTGGCTTATATATATTTATAGATATATAGATATAGATATATATACCTTCCACACCAATACAGAAAGAAGCTGCTGTTACAGAAACTATAAGACTTTACAAAACAAAACAAAAAAGAAGAGAAGAAACGTAAAGTACTTAAACAAAAAAAAGGAGGAATCTTTTCCCCCAAGCTGTGGAGCAGTGAAACATGACCCTGCTGTGCTTTGTCCGCTCGTGCCGAGCTCAAGACTCTTGCTAGCGCAGAGAAAAGCTCTGGGAGGAGGCCCTGCCCCGTTTGTAAGATATGCACTGAATGTGTGACTCAGTTCCCCTTCCCCCCCCCCCCCCGGGCGTTCGGGCGCTGAGCCAGGGCAGTGCCCCTGGAGGAACTTGCAATTCCGCCCGCCCAGCTCCACCCTTTTCCTCCTTTTGACATTGCAGGACAATTTTTCTAATTTGCCAATTCTTAAATGTAGAGACTCAAGGCTTTCGGAACATACAGTAAAGGATCGCGGCACCTACGGGTAAACCACACACGAGAAACAGCCACCCTCCCACAGAACACAGACAAGAGGAACTGAACCTTTCTATTGCCCAGCACCAACCCTTTGTCAGACTCTGGGGATCAGTGCCGGGGACCAGAGCAGCTGCCTGGGAGAGCCATACAGAGAGCAGAGTTGGGGAGGGGCCTGTGCCATTCTAAGGATGCTTTGACCGCACTTCGGCATGGGGGACAGGCACCCAGCCCATGCATCGCCCCCAAATAGAGGGCGGTTTTGAAAGCAAAACCCTCCGCCCTGCTTCTTTTGCCAGGGGACACAATAGAGATGTGAGGAGAGCCCCCGCCATACAGATGGGCCAAATTCATCCCTGGCGCAACGGCGCTGAAATCAGGGCTTTCCCCCAGGGTGTGTTCAAAGGCTGTAGTTTGTCATCTGGCTGGGGACTGATTGGCACTGCCACAGGGGTGCTCTTCAGGGTTAGTATGCCATGCTGCCCCTCCTCTCTTTCCCCTGCCCCCACCATCCACCCCCCTCTCCCTTCGTCCAGTACCTGCCAAAGGGGTGGGGGGTGCAGGGGAAACGAAGGGGTCTGGGAGATGGCTGGGAACCTATCAGCACCTGCCCAGGCCCTGTTGACATTCCCCTCACGTCTCCAGGCCCTGAAAGGATTGATGCATCTGCCTTTGAGCTGCTGTGAAAATGCAGAGGCTGAAGAATAGCTCCACTGGCAGCCCGGGGAGCTGGGGGAGGGGAAGGTGGTTCCTTCCCGAGGAGACAGCTCAGCAAATGGCCACTGCGGCCAGCCTTGCATGTCAATGAGGACAAAGGCCTGGCCAAGGGGACAGGGACAGCCAGGGGAGGGGGAGAGAAGCAGGCCCCGTCCCATGCCCCCATCAATAAAAGGAATCAACCTCCTGGCGAAAGGCTTCCTCAGAGACGGACTCCTGCTCGAAGCAGGCCTGGGAAACAAACATTTCTGGTTCGTTTCTCCTCCAGCTAATGGAGGAACGAGGGGAGAATGTGCCGCTTGGCAGCTCTAGCCAGGAGGAGCCTGGAGCACGGGAGCCATTGTCAAGGCGGAATCTGAAAGGTGACCGCTGCAGACCCAGAAATAGCTTGTTGGGATGTGGCCCTTGTCATGGAAGGAATGGGGGGATCTTCTCTCCTCCCCTCCCCCCCCAGCATCCCTTGCCCAGAGCAATCAACAGAGCAGGCTACATTCGAGAAAGGATCCTTCTGTCCAGCTGGTGACGTAGTTGTGGCGTGCTGCACAGAGGACACCCCATCCCCTCCCCCCTACCATCACCCCATTTATCTGGAGCTGTCTTGTTCATGGCTTAAATCAGAGGAGGGGGCCCTGGTACAGGGAGGGGAAGTAAGCAGATCCAGGGGAAGGCCTCTCTGGTGCTAGTGGAGCAGAGTCTGCAGGGGCGAAGGCTGCTGGAGAGGGATGGGTGCAGTGGCTTATTTGGCTGAGGCGGTGCTTGCTGTAATAAAGGCATTGGTGAGGGGAGTGGAGACAAAATGTGACTCTTCGGCCTGCCTTACAAAAACCAGGATCTGTCAGTGCTCGGCGGTAACGGCCAAGGCCAGTGCAGCAGACTCGGGAGTCGGGGCAGCGCGCGGGGCTGTTGGCGTTACAATGCTGCATGATTGTTTACAGGTCGCTTTGGATAACAGAACTGAGCTGTTGGCAGGAGGACAGGCAGGGAAGGGGTGTTAATGGCCCCTGAGATCATAGAGAAACCACAGTCTGGTGCACCACTCCCCCCACGCTCTGCATGGCTTTGTTCTCCTGGGGCAGCTGGACAATGGGAGCTGGCTTTGGTGAC